GGGGGAAGGAGGAGGATGACGAGGAGGAGGAGGACGAAGAGGAGGAGGAGGAGGAGGAGGAGGACCCCCTCCCCCATGATGGTTGTGGTGGAAGCAGGCCCATCGAGTGCCCCCCCCCCCTCGCAGGGCGCCGCGCCTTCTTCGGCGCGGTGGCCCTGGACGGCGGCCGGTCGTTGCTGCTCCTCGGCGGGGTCGTGGAGGTGCCAGCCGGGGACATCAGGCGCGCGGGCGGGCGGGCGGGCGGGCGGGCGAGGGCCACGCGGCCAGAGAGGCCCGTGATTGACAGGAGGGAGAAGCAGGCACATATACAAAGAAGCGCTCCTTCCAACAACGAGGTGAAACACATGGGAAGTGGAGGGGGACGGCGACAGTCCAGAACTTACAGAGCATTGTAGGGGGGTCCTGGGGTTCGTGTCTGTTTGTTTGTGTATACCTGGATGCCTCAGAATTTCTACGATCGAGCTGGGTACGGAAAGAATAGGTTCGAAGATCGGCAGGAGACCCTGCTAATTTTGAATAGACGCGCTGTCGGATTTAGACGACGTTTACTGTTGGACATCGCACCCATTGATTATGTTTGTGCAAATCATTGAGCGTACAAAGATGCCCTCGCGTCGCGACAAACACCCTTACGCCTGGGACCCCTTACGTCGGGTCACGAATACAAATCACTACGGGATGTCGGAAGATCACGGTGGAATGTTTGTTGGCCCTGTCTGGCCCCCCCGGGAGCCCCGGCTAAGCCCCAGGGCCGTCCAAGAGCGATTCGTGATGAAAAGCTGACCCGTGGGAGGGAGATGGTCTTGGTTATGAGAAGACCACGCCATTGGAAAGCCTGTGGATGCCGGTGTGTTGCTTCTCTGGCGAATGTTTTTTTTTCGGTGGCCCCAACACTGCGATCTATGGCCCGAGGTTTTTTTCGGTGGCCCCAACACTGCGATCTATGGCCCGAGTTTTTTTTCGGTGGCCCCAACACTGCGATCTATGGCCCGAGGGCCGAATGTATGATCCTCACCTTCACGCTGCTCATCCTTCCGCCCGATTGGCTACATCTGTATCGCCTCGAGGGTTGTTGTGCGAGGGTTGCCTTTCGGGCCTGGCTGTCCAGCCTCATGCCCTGGTCCTCCCTCTGCACGCTGTCTCACGGCCTCATTCCGCTATTTCCATGTCCGCCGTGTTGTGTGTGGTGTTGATCAGGAGGCTCTGCAGAGGCACCCCTCCATACGCGACAAACAAAAAGGTGTGTCACGGCCTCTTGGGGGAGTTTGCAGGTTGTTGTAAGGGTCTCTCGGGCCGCCCCGATGGAGCTTTTCCGAGGATGACCCTAAGGGTGTGTCGGTGCGGCTTCCTAATGAGACGGATGCGTACTGTAGATTCGAGTCTCTCGAATAGCGCGCTGGAGGTCTCCGTTTCATAAGTGGGCATGTGTCGCTCATTGGTAATGTCACAGTAGTGGAAGTTCCGGACTCAGATTGAGCATCACGTAGTCATACCATGGGGATGAGCAAACATATGATAGCCGAGCTCCCCACATAAGAGTTTGAATTAGGTCGCGGGACCACTGCTGGCAAAGAAGTAGCAAGCAAGTATACGTCACGGAAGAAGGAGGCATACGCCTGCGCCTCGCCTGCCCGATTGCTCCTCCTCAGACGTGCCCTCGCTTCTCGCGCTGCCCGTACCCCATCTCCGCCGCCTGGGGGGGAAGCCCGCGGCTCTCGCGGGGGTGGTGGTAGCCCTCGGAGGCCCGTTCCGAGCAAGACCTGCCACGACCTGTGAGTGGAGAGGGGAGAGGCTTGGCTCTGCCGCCGTCCGCCCTCTCCTCCGCGGCGTCCAATCTGCGTGCCTCTGTGTGCGTTGGAGCCTGGGCGCTTCGGCTCCGCCACCACACCTCAAGCGAAACCCCAGAACACAGCCCTCAGGTGAAAGCCTGTGCCCTGCCTTCAGATGGCCACTGAAACCCTTAGAGTGGACCAATGCATGTGGAGGGAGAAGTGGAACCAGACCTGCGTTAATCGAATTCGACACGAAGGATGTGTATGAATACGCGGATGCACGACCGCACTTCCAAGCGATCTCTGAACTGCGTCGCGTGGGTGCCCCACTTGGCATCGCCAACAGTTGCCTACCCGTGGCCGCAACTCGATGCATCGCGCCAGCAGCGCCCTGCCTTTCATTTTTTACAAATGCAAAATGCACTTCAACTTTCTGAGGCGCTGGACTGTTTTACTCCTTGCCTGGACGCATCACCGTTGTTCGTTATTCGACCTCCTCGTTTTTGTTCTCCTTCTCCTCGTATGCTTCATCCCGCCTGCGCATACTCACTTTTTCTTCTGGTCCAGGTCATCCTGCCTCACTCGCCCTGCTTCGCTCCTTCCTCCCTTCTGCCCTGTTATCCCTCGTCCTCCATCCAACTATCTTCAACTCTGCGCGCGAGGCAGGGTGAGGAAGGCCTGGGGATGGGAGCAGCATGGAGCATGGCTTTTCACCGCTGACTTCTCCCTGCCCTCCACGCCCCTCCTGAAACACTCTGGAACAGTGTTTCCTTATTCATTGCTTGGCCGATCCGCGCGGGCCCTCGCACCCCCTCCCCCCCCCATGGAGTAGAACTTTGCTGTTTTTGGCGCCTGTCTAAAGCAGGTGGAGTCTCCCACATAGGACGCACTGTCGGAAACAGTCACACTAAGCGGAGGTCCGGAGCCAGACACCCCCCTCCCCCCCCTTACGCCCAATGTCGAAACACCGAATAATCGAACGTTCACCAATGACGGAGGTAACACCATGGAGCATAAACATGCCGCTAATGAGTTCCAATGCTGTGAGCTTGAGCAGGAGCATTTTGTCCAACCAATCTACATGTTGCGCTCGCGTTCACAAACATCTATCTATACAAGCATGCAACTGCCAACAATCAATATACATATATATATGTATACATATATATATATATATATATATATATTCTGAGCCCGCGCTCATCCAATACAAGTTTCGGGGGGGCGTCAACTTGGCCTCCAGAGGCTTGCAGGGGCATCCAATGGTTCCCTGGGCCTCCCAAATGAGCGACACAAAATAACGGAGTCGACTGCGCAAACATTCGCGCGTAAGTTGCCCGCGCAAGGCCGCGCGTAAGCGCCCTCGTCTCCAATGTGGCGTGACGCGCCGGCGGCCCGCGTAGACCTCCGCGTAAAGTCGCTATGCCACCTCGCGTAAGACCCGTGACTGATCGCCGCTCAATTGCTCCAAACGGGAGGGTGGCATCGGGGAGTGGAAACGAGTTCGTCCTCCATTCGCTCTTGGTTCTACTCCGCCTCTCCAGTCCTCCTCCTCCCCCAGAAGGCGGAGGAGGATGGAGGAGAATGGAGGAGAATGGAGGGACGAGGAGGTGGGAGGAGGACTGATGATGATACTGATGATGATGGTGATGATGATAATGATGCTGATGATATGAAGATAATGTTGATGTTCACATGATGGTGGTGGTGATGGTGATTGTGATGATGCTATTGATGGTGATGGTGACGATGATGATGCTGTTGCTGACGATTGCGATGATGATGATAATGGTGATGATGATGATGATGATGATGATGGTCATGATGATTTATCGTGGTCAGGGCGATTATGACGATGATGATTAGGGTGAGGATGAGGATGAGGATGATGATCATGATGATACTGGTGGTGATGATGATGCCGATGAGGATGCTGATGCTGATGATGATGCTGCTGATGATGATGATGCTGATGATGTTGATGATTATGATGATGATGATGATGATGATGAGGATGATGATGATGATGATGATGAGGATGATGATGATGATGATGATGATGATGATGATGATGATGATGATGATGATGATGATGCTGATGATGATGATGCTGATGGTGATGATGCTGATGATGATGCTGCTGAGGATGATGATGAGGAGGAGGAGGAGGTTGAGGAACGATGAGGAGGAGGAGGAGGAGGAGGAGGAGGAGGTGGGAGATCGAGCGTCCGCGGCGGCGGCTGGCGGCGGTGAGGCCCGGTGGAGAGCGGGGCGCGGCGGGAGGCGGCGGGGCCCGTCGGCGCGCGCCGGCGCCCGCGGTCCGCCCAGGGGCTCCCTGCGGACTCGGGCGCCCCAGGGCCAAGCCGAGGAGGAGTCGGCTAGGCGTAAGTCGGCGGCGTTTCGCTTTAGGTTAATTCGTCTTTGCGCGCCCCGCTCTGACTGGACTCGCCGCTGGCGCGCTCGCCTGCGGCCGCTGACTAAAAAGTATGTCGGCGGCGGGCGAGGGGGAGAATTGAGAAGGGAGGAGGCCTTCTCAGAAGCCCTCGCGCCTCTGAGAAGTTTTCTTTGTCTTCGGGGAAGGCATGGGGAACTTCTCGGAAGGCTTGGGGACTTCCGAGCCTTCTGAGAAGGCCCGCCCCTTCTCACTCCCCCCCCTCGTTCGCCGCCTAGTAAGAGTGACCTTTCGCTGGGGCGAACTCTCTGGTGCGGACGGGTCGCTCTAGCTCTGGCCCGTGCGCGTGGATTTGGGCCCTTCGCGGTCCCCTTGCAGCCGCGCACCAAAGGTCACGCTTGCCTGGGGTCACGTGCGCGGTCCGCTTCCGCTGGCCTGCATTTGAACGCGGTCGTTCGTGCATGCGGAAGGGCGGATGGCGTGAGGAGAGCGGACGAGACCGATCGCTGAGCGAGTTCAGAGAATTGGGGCTTTGGCGGTCTGCTCAGCCGCGAGGAGGAGGACGGAGCGTGCGAAGCCCCCCCCCCTCTCGACTCCAAACGCAGGCGCAGCTATTCCAGCGACCTGTGGCTGGGAGAGCTGGGCGACGGCGCTGGCGACCCCGTGTGGCGGCAGCTGGACGCGGCCCCCTGGGAGCCGCGCGCGGGCTTCCAGGCGCTTGTGAGGATCAGCGGCGGCTCGGAGGCGCGCCGCGGTTGCCCACGCGGTTCCTCCTTCTGGGACCTCTCATTCCTCTTCCCTCCCTCCTCCCCAGTCTCCTCCCGGGTTTCCTCCGCCAGGCCAGGTCACGACGAGTGACCTGGGCATGCCCCGCCTTGGTCACACTCGGCCCGCCAGATGCATGTATCGCTGCGCCCCGGGAGAGGGTGTGAGTGTTTGTGTGCGTGCGTGTCGCCATCTCGCTATTTGCGCTGGTTCGCTCGACTTCGGCGCATCACTGTGCGTGCGGCCGCGACGCCAGGGAGTGTGTGTGTGTGTTTGTGTGTCTGTGTGTCTGTGTGCCTGTGTGTGTGTGTGCGTGCGTGCGTGCGTGCGTGCGTGTGTGCGTGTGTGCGTGTGCGCGTGTGTGTATATATTTTTGCCTGCGTGTCTCTGTCTCGTTGTCCTATGGGTTTGCTTTTTTTTCCACAAGGAGGTCGATGACGGCGACGAACCCAGACCCCCCGACGCCGCGACTTGATGCACAACGTGACCCCCAGAGGTCAGGGCCCCTGTCCCGAGACCAGCTTTTCATCCCGGGTCGTCTCGTCTTCCTCTTTTGACAGTCCCAGGGCCCGGTCAGGGCTCCTAGAGTTTGAACATCACAAGGCAGCTCGCTGCTTGGGCCCCTAGACCAGCCCAAACGGCGAACAGAAATTGGGCGCAGCCCCGCACGCATTCGAATGCCCACACTTTATCCTCGTACTACTCGTATTCCTCTCCGTCCTCCTCCCCATCCTGGCCGGCGTCGTCCTCCTCCTCGTCCTCCTCATCCTCCTCGTCTTCCTCGTCTTCCTCCTGCTTCAGCTCCCTCTCGCCGTCCTCGTCTAGGACCTCATCCTCGTCTCTCCTCTTCCTCCTCCTGTTCATCCTCCTTCTCCTGGCACCTCGGTCCTCGACGCCCTCGCTGTCCCGCGTGCGGTTCAAGAGAGCGGTTCAACGCCAGACCAGGTCACGGACCCTGCCGCAGGGTTGCCAGCGGAATGGCGGAAGCTTGTCGTGTTAAACCGTCTCCAATCGGTTGCGCCATAGGTTGCGCCCTCGGCGGCCGAGAATACAACCGTCTCCTATTGGTTGCGCCATAGTTCCGAGACTTCCCTTTGAATGCAGTAGGTCGGCGAAGTAGGTCTGCAGCGCGCTTGGCAACAGTGGTCGGCGCAGGTAACTCGAAGGGAAAGGATGGCGAAACCGATTGCCGCGAGAAGCTTTCAGTGGAAAGGAATGCGATATTCATGTGCAAAAAAGTAGCTTTCCAGGGAAGGTTGTTGGGAACACAATATCAAAAGTAACTTGTCGGGATCGGGTCAGTAATGATATTTTCCAAACAAGCTTCTCGGGGAAATGCTGGAATGCCGCCAGCAAGACGCGGCTTCCGCTAGCAAGCCAGCCGAGTAATTCGTGAAGTGCGCTGTCTTGGGTTCTTCTGGACTCCTTCGGGGCTTATCTTCAGGCTTCCAAAGTCTTCGGAAACGCATGGGCCAATATGCCCAATTCACTCGTGTTTCGTACGATTTGGAAAGATTTCGGCTTCTCGGGGGTGTTATTGGGTGGCTCCGCGGCCACTTGGGGCGGCCTCGGAGCGGTAGTTGGGTTTCTCGGAGCATGCGGGAAACAATGTTGATCCATCTTGGGCTATCTTGAACCATCTGTGAGACCGCGTTGCATTCTGCGAGGTCATGCCGGCTCTATCTTTGAACGTCTCGGGCGCTCCAGCGACCCGCCGCCCCCCATTGCAGACCCCGGAAGGAGGGGGGCGGGAGGGGTGCATCCATCCCCGAAGGGAAGACTGGGGGTTGTTGGAACAGGAAGCGCTCTAAACCACCTCCGTCCTGAGATCTGGGGGCATTGCGTTTCCCCCTTGGTCTGACCACAGCGGGAAGTGGGGCATGGAGGGCGGGGCGAGGGCCGCGGGCCCGAGCAAGGGAAAGGGGGGGGGGACGAGAGGGAGGACCAGGAAGTTTAAGAAGGTGAGAAACGGGAGAGGGGGGGGCTCCAGAAGGCGGGTAGGGGGGAGGTGGCGTTTCCGGGGGGAGGAGGTGGAGGGAGGCTGGAATAATGAGGACGCGTGAAAGAGGAGAGGAGGTGGAGAGAGGTGGGAGGAGGAAAGAGAAACGGAAGGGGAGTGGCGCCTCCGTCGGGCCGGGCCCGGAGGGGCCCCGGGGGGCGGGGGGCGGCCGCATCAGGTTTGGTTCCTGAAGAACCTAGGGCGCCAGGCGGCGGCCCCCTGCCCGCCAGCGGGCGGGCCGCCAAAGGGCCTTGTCCTGTCGCGGTACGTTTGCTTGTCGCCCGACAGCGAAATCGCGCGCTCGATCCTCGACCCTCGGGGGGGGGGGGGAGACCGCCCCCTTTGGGGGGCTCCCGCCTGTCGGGGGCAACCTACAAGTGTTTTGGGTTTGCTCACCTTCTGGGGGTACTTCGCAGATTCCTTTTTTGGCGCGCCACCCCCGGGGGCGACTTCTGGGAAAGGCTCGGGCAAGCGTGTGCTGATGTTTCAAGGAACCGCGCCCCCAAAGTAGGTCGGAAAGTAGGTTTGCAGAATTTGTTTTTGCAAAGTAGGTTCCAAAGAAGGTTTCCGGACTCCAAAAGTAGGTTTTCGGTAGCGCAAAGTAGGTTTCGGAGGCCTCAAAGTAGGTTTTAGGAGCCTCAAAGTAGGTTTCGGAGGCCTCAAAGTAGGTTTCAAACCTACTTCAAACCTACTTCAAACCTACTTCAAACCTACTTCAAACCTACTTCAAACCTACTTCAAACCTACTTCGTACTTCAAACCTACTTCAAACCTATTTCAAACCTACTTCAAACTGTTTTCGGAAGCATGGAGGGTCAGGGATTGAAGGTAGGAGGAGGAGGAGGTGGAGGAGAATGTGGGGGAGGAGGAGGAGGAGGAGGAAGAGGAATGGGGAGGAGGAGGAGGAGGAGGTGGATGAGGAGAGCCGGGAGGAGGATGTGGAGGAGGAAGAAGAGGAGGAGGAGGAGGAGAGCCAGGTCGAGGAAACGGAGGGCCAGGAGGAAGGAGGAACAGGAGAGAGGAGTAGGAGGAGGAGGACCAAGAGGATCCGGAGGATCGGGTGGAGGATGAGGGGCGGATGAAGGGAGCATGAGGGAGAAAAGGTAGGAACAATAGGGGGAATATGAGGAGGAGGAGTAGGAGGAGGAGGAGGAGGGGTGGACGGGGAGGGCGGGGAGGATCGGGGGCAGGAGGATGAGAACATGGATGCTGCGGCTGACGAGGGAGAGGATGGTGAGGCAAGGGGGGCGATGATGGGAAGCATGATGTGATTGATGACGAGTGGCTTTGGGGAGGGCAGAATGACCTTGGGCGGGGCGGCCGTGATAATGAGGAGGAGCCATAGCGTGTCCGAACCCCGCCGGGACACGGCATGGGGGTTTTGCTGGGGTGGTGATTGTTGGTGGCGGCCCGGCTTGTCCAGGATTCCTTGAATTGCGTTGTTCGCCGTGCCAGTTGCTGGGGCTGCCCCGATTGATTTTTGGGTCACCCATTGTCGTGGCTGCTTTTCTGGCGGGTCGTGTTTGCGGAGGTCTTCTCCGCAGCCGCTCTCGTTAACTTTCTATGTTTAGTGCCCGAGGCTGCGTCGCGCGAAAAGTGTCGCGGCCCCTGCCTGAAACGCAGCCCTGGCGCCATTTCCATTGCAAACCTTCTTGGCGAGGTTGCCGCGGCCAGGGAACGTCCCCGGGTGCACTTGCCAGGGCTACTTTGGCGGATTCGCTTCGCCAACTTAGCTGCCCGCGGCATTTGCGCCGACGCGCTTTGGCAAACCCAGCAACGGGAGGCGATATGCCCGATGACACGTTTTCCCCGCGCGTTGTACCTTTTTCCTGGAACCTACTATGCTTGCGAACCTATCTCCCGAACCTACTTTTGCACCTATCTAAAACCTATATCGAAATGTTTTCTGCTCGCCATTGCCCTGCATTGCTGGGGAAGTCTCGGCCATAGTTCGCGCCCTCGGCGGCCGAGAGTAGAGCCGTCTCCTATCGGTTGCGCCGTGGGTTTTGCCCTCGGCGGCGGAGAATACAACCGTCTTCTATTGGTTGCGCCATAGTTTGCGCCCTCGGCGGGCGAGAATAGAGCCGTCCCCTATCGGTTGCGCCATAGGTTGCGCCCTCGGCGGCCGAGATTATAACCGTCTCCTGTCGATTGCGCCATAGGGTGTGCCCTCGGCCGCCGAGAATACAGCCGTCTCCGATCGGTTGCGCCACAGGTTGCGCCCTCGGCGGCCGAGAATAGAGCCGTCTCCCATCGGTTGCGTCATAGGTTGCGCCCTCGGCGGCCGAGAAAATAACCGTTTCCAGTCGGTCGCGGCGTAGGTTGCGCCCTCGGCGGCCGAGAATAGAGCCGTCTCCTACCGATTGCGCCATAGGTTGCGCCCTCGGCGGCGGAGAATACAACCGTCTTCTATTGGTTGCGCCATAGTTTGCGCCCTCGGCGGCCGAGAATACAGCCGTCTCCTGCCGGTTGCGCGATAGGTTGCGCCCGCGGCGGCGGAGAATACAACCGTCTCCACCGGTTGCGCCATAGGGTGCGCCCTGGGGCCGAGATAGAATTGTCTCCTTTCGGTTGGGCCATAGGGTGCGCCCTCGGTGTCCGAGAAAGCCGTCTCCAATCGGTTGTGCCATACGTTGCGCCTTCGGCGGCCGGAAATAATGCCGTTTTCAATCGGTTGCGCCATGGGTTTTGCCCTCGGCGGCCGAACATTTGCTCAGCAACGGAACCAACCATATGCAATTGTGAATACCGTCGTTGTTAGAATCGCCTTCGGTGGATCCCCTTCTGGGGCCACGAAGCGCGTGAAGAGTGTGCCGACATGGGGCAGGGCGGAGCTCCCTGTGGGGCCGCGGAACGTGGGAGGGGGGTGCCTAAACAGGGCGGCGCCGCCATACGGACTTCACCATTGGGGCCTTGGGTGGAGCCCCCCTTTTATGTGGCCACGAAACGTGTGAGGGGTGTCCCAAAATCGGGCGGCGCCGCCGTGCGGACTGCGCCACTTGGACCTGAGGTGGAGCTCCCTATGGTGTCACGAAACGTGTGAGGGGTGTGCCAAAATTGGGTGGCGCCGCCATGCGGACCGCGCCACTTGGACCTTAGGTGGGGTTCCCCATGGAGCAACGAAGCGTGTGAGGGGTGTGCCAAAATGGGGCGGATCCGCCATGCGGACTGCGCCACTGGGACTTCAGGTGGAGCTCCCTATGGTGCAGCGAAAGGCGTGAGAGGTGTTCCAAACTGGGGCGGCGCCGCCATGCGGACTGCGCCATTGGGACCTTACGTGGAGCACCTTATGGGGCCACGAAACGTGTGAGGGGTGTTTCAACATGGGGCGGCGCTTCCATGTGGACCGCGCCACTCTCGCCTTAGGTGGAGCTCCCCATGGTGCCGAGAAGCGTGTGAGGGGTGTGCCAACGTGAGGCGGCGCCGCCATACGGACTGCGCCAACGGGGCCTAAGGTGCAGCCCCCTTCTATCGGGCCACGGGACGAGTGAGGTGTGTCCCAAAATCGGGCGGCGCCGCTGTGCGGACTGCCACTGGGGCCTTAGGTGGAGCTCCCCATGGGGCAACGAAGCGTGTGAGGGGTGTGCCAAAATGGGGTGGCGCCGCCATGCGGACCGCGCCACTGGGACCTTACGTGGAGTTCCTTATGGGGCCACGGAACGAGTGAGGGTTGTGCCAAGATGATGCGGCGCCGCCATGCGGACTGCGCCACTGGGACCTTGGGTGGAGCTCCCTGTGGGGTCACGTGCCACAATGAGGCGGCGCCGCCATGCGGACTGCGTCACTGGGACCTTGGGTTGAGCTCCCGATGAGGCCACGAAGCGTGTGAAGGGTGTGACGACGATGATGATGGTGATGGTGACGATGAAGGTGATGATGACGGCCATGATAATGGTAATCATAATGATGGTGATGCTGATGATGATGATGTTGACGGCCATGATGTTGATGGTGATGATGATGATGATGACGACGACGATCACGACGACGATCACGCTGACGATGCGGATGATCATGATGACGGGATGAGGGAGGAGGGGGAAGGAGGATAGGAGGGAGGAGATACGCGGGGGCCGTCTCTTTCGAAACGAAGACCCAATACCACAGGATGGTTGGGAACATAACCGTCTCCTACCGGTTTCGCCATAGTTTGCGCCCTCGGCGGCCGAGAATAAAACCGTCGCCTATCGGTTGCGTCGTAGGTAGCGCCCTCGGCGGTCGAGAATACAACCGTGCCCTATCGGTTGCGCCATAGGTTGCGCCCTCGGCGGCCGAGAATAAAACAGTCGCGTAACGGGTAAGACCAGCCAGTTCAGTTCAGCTCAGTTTAGTTCAGCCAGTTTCTTTCGCGAGAAACAGAAATGACGAAACGTTGACCGCCGTGTTTTTTTATCAACGCGAGGAGGTCTGGGAAGTCGACTTAATGTGTAACTTTTGGGATGTCAATTCGTAATCGGCCTTGGTACATCCCCTGTCGAAAACTGGCCCAACTGGGTTTAGTCCCGCTTATGCTGGCTTGCCCCCGCAAAATGTGGTTCGATCCCGCTCAATCTGGTTCAATCCTGGGCTCAATCTGGCCTGGTCTGGCTCAATGGCCCTTGAAATTGCTTGATAGCCATTAATCGTTCTGACGAAGACCTCCCAGGAGATGTTTCTTAGGACGATGCTGCGTTGGGGCGTTCCTGCCCTCAAACGAGGTGTACTTTTCTCGACGCGAAGGGGGTTCATATAGCGAGCGCAAGCAGGAGTGGCGACAGGCAGCCGATCAACCAAGGCAGCCGCGGGAAACGCGGGATGACGACGACGACGACGACCACGATGCGGTGTGGCTTGACGGCGCCCGGAGGAGGTGCTCGTCCTGGGCGGCCGCCTGGCCGGCGGAGCCCTGGCCAACGACGTGTGGGCGGCCAGCGCGGCCGAGCTGCTGCGGCCGCCGGCGGGGACGCCAGACCCGCGGCGGGGGCGGCGAGGAAGACCCCTCGGGGGCACCGTGCCCAGACCCCCTCGGGTCGCGAACCACAGTATGACGATGTGTTTCGCTATCTTCGGCCCCTTAGCAAGCAGTTGCGAAGCGTCCTGGCTCGCCGATAGGCCTACCGAGCAATGTTCGAAGAACCTTTTGCGGTTTCCACGAGATGTTCTTCGAACACTTCTGGCTGGGCCTGTCTTGTTTTATCACATCGGGCTTATGTTCTAAGGCGCATTGCTTCTGCGGGTCAATGTTATGAAATCGTTGGTCTGGGTTAGTCGGGCCGAACGAAAGGGGGGGATAGGGAAAGGGGGGGGTACGAAATCTACTGCATGCAGCTGGTTTCGGCTCCGCCGCCGGGCCCATTCCTCGATACATGGGCGCCTCCCAGCGCCGGGAGGCGATGGGAAAATCAACTACGTGAGCTGATTCTCTACCCTGCCCTTTGCTATCCCTCCCTTTCGGTCCCCCCGAGTTAGGGGGGGGAGGATCATGGCCAACGTTAGTCTCGAGGTTTGAGGTTGAGAGTTTTCGGACGTCGTTCGTCGGTTCTCGGAGTCTCCACGGCCTCGGCGTACTTCCAGGCGGCCGCGCCACGCCGAGAGCGTTCCGGGGGTGCCTGGGTCGTCCTGGACGGCCGCGGCATGGTCGAGACATATCCCGACAGCCAGGGGGGCGACGCTTGAGGGAGGCGCATCGACCTCCAATCGCCCATTCATCGCCGATGGGGGCCCGATAGCCAAACGCGCCCAGACCGTGCGTAGTTGCTATCGGGAGCCAATCGCCGATCAATCGGCGATGCATTACCGATTCCAGGTCGATGTTTCCCCACTGAGCCAGCCTCCCCGATCGTTGCCTCTCAACCCCCCTCCCCCTCCCCCTCCCGACTGACTGACTGAAGGCATCGGAGTTTCAAGAGTTGTCGCCACGCCCCCCACCCGCCCCTGGGGGGTTGACCAACACATAGTGATTCTGCAAGAGCCAGCGCGTAAAAGAGACACGTGGGACCGAGGGGGGATGCCCAGGGGAGCTGGTAGCTTGGTCTCCCTGTCACCCCTGGAGGTGGGGAGAGAACGACACAACGGCGACGATAGAAGAACAGCCAGAGAGAACTTTGGCCTTCTCGTTCCCCAAGTCTTTGGCATGAGCTCCAAACGCACCTCGCCTGCGCCCCCTGAGCAATTCCAAACGATCAAACGATCCTGGCGTCGACCTCCAGGAACCAAGGGGAGGCGAACCCCCAGTGTTCTTCCGAACCGCTGCCCTGCATCAGATCCGGAGAGGTCGTGGATGCTTCGGCGCGAGCCGAGGCACATGAGAGGCCGCCATGCCCTCGGGGTGGCCGCCTCGAGGATGCCGTCGGCGTCGTCGTTCGCCGAAGCCCTGACACGACGGGAAGCCCCGAACGACAGGAGGCGGACGAGGAGGAGGAAGAAGGGGAGGAGGATGAGGATGAGAAGGGGGAGGAGGGCGAGGAGGAGGGGCACGAGAAGGGGGAGGAGAAGGAGGAGGCGAAGGAGGAGGAGGAGGAGGTGGAGGAGGAGGAAGAGGAGGAGGAGGAGGAGGAGGAGGAGGAGGCGGGCCACCGCCTCGGCCGCGAGGTGGCGCCGCCTCTCCGCGTCGGCCGCGTGGCCCCCGCGGGCCGACTTCGCGGCGGCGCCGCTCGGGGAGGCGGGCCTGCTGGTGGCGGGCGGGTGCGGCGAGGGCGGGCGCGCGCTCGGGGACGCCTGGCGCAGCCCCGACGGCGGTGGGCTGCTCCTTGTCCTCCTCCTCCTCCTCCTCCTCCTCCTCCTCCTCCTTGTCCTCCTCCTCCTCCTCCTTGTCCTCCTCCTCCTCTTCGTTCTCCCGCTGCTCCTTCCTCCTCCCTCCTCCTCCTCCTCCTCCTGCCCCTGCCCCATTCCTGTCCTATATAGAAGAGAAAGTCCTCCCCGTCGCACCCCGAGGCTGGTCCGAAGGGCGGGACCGGGGGTTCGCCTGAGACTCCCTTACCCACTGTGACCCCGTGCCTTCAGTTGGCAGCAGCTTCATAAATGGAGGGCGGCTCGCTTCCAAAATGTGGCTCCCGCCTAAACGCCACGCGCATTCGTTCAACAACTTACAAGGGCTCCGTGGATTGAGGGCGGGCGGTTTTTCAAATGCGGTTCTCGCTTAAGCGCCGCGCGCACTCGTTTCAATCATTTGCAAGGGTGTCACTGGTTGTGGGCTGTCTGTTTTCAAAATGCGACATTATCTTTATAACTGCGTGCATGTGTTTAAACATGCAGAAGCTTAACTTCACAAGGTGGCTCCTTTAAATATCTGGCACTCGCCTTAGCGCCGCGCGCATTCGTTTTCAAACAATTGTAAGAGTTTCATGGTTTTCCATGGTTAACGTGCCGAGAATAACGTGGTGGACGGACTCAGGACTGTCAGGGCGCAGTAGTAATGTTGATTCGCGGTGTTGAAGTCTCAGGGATCATGTTCTGGCACGATTCAGGGTCGTCAGCGCAACAATCAGCTTGACTCGCGGCGCTAGAATTCCGAGAATTGTATCTTGGCGCGCTTCAGGATCCTCAAATGGTTGTGCCCTAACGGGGCGCTTCAATCAGAGGAAATGAGCTTGTTGTAGGGATCAATGAAGAGGGAACTTCGAAGGAGGATGTTTTCAAACATCGTTGGTGAGTCTTGGGTTTATACTGGCTCTCTTCCTCCTCCTCTTCATCGTCCCCCCTTTTTCTCTCCTCCTTTTTCCTTTTCCTTATACATAACTTCTCCCTGCCGCACACCGGGGTGAGTTTTTAGGGCGGGCCGTGCGTTTTGCAGGAGACTTCCTCGCCTCTTCTGGCCCTGAAACTTCAATATCGGCAACGGTGTCTCGGATGGAGAGCGGGCAGTTTTCGTGTTCAACATGTGGCTTTCGTTTTAGCGCCGCGCACACTTGTTTTAAACATGTGGTACAGTTGCACGGCTCGAGGGCGAATCGTTTTCAAAACGTGGTTCTCGCCTTCGCGCCGCCCGCGTTCGCTGTCAAAAACAGCAAGAGCTGCACGGATTGAGGGCGGCTCCTTTTCAACATGTGGATGTCGCCTTAGCGCCGCGCATATTCGTGCGTATTTTTCCAAGCGTTCCACGGATCCCCATGATCAGCGTACCAGAACAGCCTTCTGGAAGGATTCTGGGTTATGAGCGTGCACCAGTTACGTTGATACGCTGTGTTGAAGTCCCAGGGATGGCGTTCTGACACGGTTCAGGGTCGCCAAGACGCAATAGTCAAGTTTATTTGTGGCGTTGGAATCCCGAGAGCAATGTTTTCGCATGTTTCCGGGTATTCAAATAGTTGTCTTCCATCGTGGCGGTTCTTTTAATGGAAATGAGCCTTTGTATGGGGACTATGAAGAGGAAGTTCGGAGGGAGGGTTTACACTGGTCCTCCCTCCTCTTCCTCCTCCTCCTGGCCCCTCCCCCGTCCCCCCCGCACTGCCTGTTTTTTGTATGGAGGTCTCGCCTTCTGCACGACCCCCCCGATCCAGGAGGCGCCCTATGCAGGCCGAGGGTGTCCAGAGAAACGCTCGGCTTTGCATCGGAGGTGTCGTGTGCGTGTCGCGCGTGCGGGCGAGGCGCAGCTGCGTGGGCGGGCGAGAGGGATGAATCCTCCTCTGGTTAGGGCGCCGCCGAGCCCAAAGACCGCCCTGTACGGGTTGTCCGGCGTTTGCCGCGGGTGTTCCACTGGTGACCTGGAGGTGTTCCGTCGGTTTTTGGTGTGTCCCGTAGTCAGATTGATAGTGAGATCGACAGCGAGATCGATAGTGAGACCGACAGTGAGACCGATTGGTGAGATCAACAGTAAAATCGATAGTAAAGGTGCTACTGAGATCGATAGTGAGATTGATGGTGGGATCGACAGCGAGATCGATCGTACGATCGATCGTAAGATCGAAGGTGAGATCGGCATTGAGATCCAATTTGAGAGCGATGTCGGGGTCGACTGGTCGACGGTGAGATCGATCGAGTGAGACCTATAGCGAGATTGATAGTGAGATCACTCGTTCGACCAATCGTCAGATCGATAGTCAGATCGGTAGTTGTATCTATAGTGAGATCGGTATTGCCTTTGACCTTGATATCGAAAGTGAGATTGATAGCAGGAGCGAGGGTAGGATCGACAGTGATAGCGGTTGTGAGAGGGATTGTGAGAGGGATCGTGAGATCGACAGTAAGATAAATATTGAGATCGATTGAGTGAGACGTTGGTTTCCCCCCCCTCCAGAATTCCCTTATCTCCCGAAAGGTGGTCGTATAGGTACATCATACGGGGGGCCTTGGCAGGCGGTGAATTATGGACAGATTTGGGCCCGAGGGGGCCCAAAAAGACCCAGATCCTTCGCCCCCTGTGGGTTCGGCGCCCCAGGCGCTGATGATGTGGATAGTTACCAGCCTCGGACGTATCCCTATCCCTAAGACTGACACGCCAAAAGGCGATGACAATCTCAGGGATTCGCCGTCAAAAAAGTAAGGGAATCCCTGAGATTGGCATCGTGATGAGGAGGTGCACCGCATAGGGATAGGGATATGTTCCAGGCTGGTAAGATAGTTCTCCGCGTCGCACTCGGGGCGGCTCCCTCCCCGGACCCCCGACGTCATGCATGGTCTGTTCAAACAAGTCGACTCCCGGAGGCACCGACCCATTCCATTCGGGTCGGGCGAAAGGGGGGGATAGCAAAGGGGGGGGGTGAGAATCAGCTCACGTAGCTGATTTCCCTGGCGCCTCCCGGCGCCGGAGGCGCCCATGTATCGAGGAATGGGCCCGGCGGCGGGGCCGAAACCAGCTCTGTGCAGCAAATTTCGTAACCCCCCCTTTCCCAATCCCCCCCTTTCGTTCGGCCCGATCCATGGAGCCAGTTTATTATCCTGAGTCGATCTGTGACGATTCCGGTGCTGGGCGAGGGCCCCCAGAGGCCGAACACAGCGAAACGCCTCCCGCCACAATTTGGTCATGAGCCGAGGGGGCGTGGGTCCAGGTGTGAGCTGGGAGCCCGTGGCCCGGGCCGCGCCCTGGGGCGCGCGCGTGGGCGCCGCTGCCGTGGCGCTCCCGGGGGGCGCCGCGGCGCTCTTCGGCGGCTACGCCTACCCAGACGGGGGCTTCGCGCCCCTCGCGCTCGAGGCCGGGGAGGCCCCGCCGGAGTGGTCCGCCGCGCTGTGGGCGGCCCCGGGGCGACTGGAAATGCGCCGCGAGCATTTCCCAAGCAGTGCTTGCACTAGGGCTTCGTTCTCTTGTGTTGAGGATTTGGCCGTGCCTTCGGCTCGGCGGATATGTGGCCGCCGTCGCCGCCCCGTCGCTCGCGAACGTAGATCGCACCGCAGATTGCACCACATACACTGCACCACAAATGTTGCACCACATTGAAAAAAACAAAAAAAACATAAGGAAAATATAGGTTCTACCTCCCTCCCCCCCTGGGAGCCGATGTAAACACACATGATTCTGACCCAACGTCCATCCTACATGTGAGTTCATACTATCCCAGCCAGGCTGGTATCGACCCCCCCCGCCATCCTGTGCACAAAATACACTGCGCGCACACTCCCTTATCACAATTCACAAATGTTCAATAATCCCTTGTGTCGAAGTGCGCGCATGCCGAAATCCTTCAAAAGCTTTCGGTACCAGAAGAGTTGCAAAATCGTGTGTCCCAAAAACGAATAAACTCACATGTCTTCGCCACACGCATTTTCAACAAAAGCGTGCGCGCCGTCTTGCCACGTCCAAGTCATAGGTTTTTCAACAGTTTCAAGACAATACTACCAAACGGGCTTCGCGCGCGCATGTCGAAATCGTACGAACGCCCCTCGCGCGTGTGCCGTCACGAAAATATTTTGCAAACAAAGACGGGGTGCACACGCGCGCGTCGTCGCGCGCGCCTGCCGACATCCTTCGACACTTCTCGGATTCGGGAGGATTGCAACATCGAGTGTCCAAAACACATATGAACTCACAAGGTTTCGCAACACGGATTTTCAACATAAGCGTGCGCGCGCGTTCTTGCGAATCCTCAAGAATTTTTTCAGTGTTTCAGCATTTCCATACAATGCTACTAAACGGCTTCGCGCGCGCATGTCGAACTCGTTCGAACGCCCTTGCGCGCGTGCTGGGGTGGCACGATTCGTTTCAAAGCATATCATGCGAGCCTCTCTCGCACGCCTGCCGCTCGCGCATTTCGACTTCCTCCCAAAATTTTCATCACCGACGCGAAGACGCAGTCATCGTCGTCGGCGTGATGGGCATCGGCGTCGTCATCGCCACTCATCATCATCGTGTTTACAATTACTGTCACCAACATCGCCACTGTCGTCGTCATCGTGTCTACCAGTGTCGACGTTGCCATGATACCGCACCCGCCCAAACCGCCGACTCGCACTCAAGTGCCCGCTGGGATGTGCCGACCGGTCAGCACCACCGCGGCCTCGTCAGTCGCGCCAAATTGCCTGGCCGCTGCGCGCGCGCGTGCGCGGGTTGGCGCGGCCGCAGGGATGCACCAACCAGCGCCAAGCACTCATCGCAATCGCCGCCGCATGAGGTTTGCAAACGAAGTTGCGGGTGGGTCGGATGGTTGCGCTAGCAGTGGGGTGGCTAATTCACTGCGAGCAGAAATTGGTTGCACAACATCGGTTGCACCACATAAATATCACACCGTTGGTTGCACACCATAGTTTGCACCGATAGATTGCACCGCGTGGAGTGCACCGGATAAATTGCACCATGTGGATTGCATTACGTATGTTGCACCACATATTGTACACCACACGCTGCACACTTTAAAGTACGCCAAGGCATTGCGCCACATATCTTGCGTTCGTTGTACCACACACGTGTACGTTTCACAAGACAGACTGCAACGCATAGGTCGCTCGACTGAGACTGCAACTGTTAGATTCCACAGCACGCACTGCTCCACATACTCCGCACACGAGAAGCCGCTAGCATACAGACTACTTGGGGTCTTCACTGTTTAACATATTTCCGCAAGCGCCCGCCGACGAGATTTTCCGTATGACGTCAGGGGAGGGCGGCGGTGTGTAGAATCGTTGGTTCGAAAGGGGGTTTGTATACCGCAACTCTTTCCAAGAGGCTTAGGGACAAGCCACTGGAGGGTGTCTACGTTTTTTCTGTGACGGAGGAAAGACCCTGAGATTTGGTCGTCGCATCGCTTTCGATCCTGGCGTTTTTTGTTTGCTGTCGTTGACATATCGATGCGTTTCAGAAGTGGGGTCTGTAGAGCTCTGGTGGTCCAATGGTGATTGCTCACGATGTATTGTTTCGTGCCGTCGGATTTGAGAGGGGCACCGTCTCTTACCTGAGGGCGAATGGAGACAACGGCAGTTGGCCTTTGGGTGGCCCCCCTCGTCGCCACTGCTGGACGCAGCTCGGAAAACTGGTGCGTTTGGACCCCGGGAGAGGATCGGGAACCGATTTTGAGGTCTTGTTACCACTGGTAACGTGATGAAGGGTTCAGCGCAAACAGGGCGCAACCAGGGCGCCGGATCCTGGAGGATCTAGGACACGGGCTAGGAGAGATATAACATTGCTGAAGAGTTCTGCTATCAGAGCGCTCTGGGACGCTATGAGAAGAACTTGGCGCCTGATGCATTGCCCAGAGAAGACAAATCTCAGAGATCCTGTTTGATCCCTGTCCGATGTTGTCCCTGTCATGGCCTTGTCTTCGGTTTTGGGGAAGCGCCCCCCGAAAAAATTGCAGCGCAGCTTTTCAGAATAAGCGGCGCTGGGTCCCGCGCCCGAGCTTCGTGTCCGGCCGTCTTCGCGGCATCCCAGTTGGCGGCGCGCACGTGGGGGTTGTTGTAGCCCCAGACATGACACGCTTTCGGGAACTCAGGACGGGAGGCTCTTCTCAGTTGTCGGCCTCCCGGGGCTTTCGCCGGGCCCTGGAGCCGTTGATCAGTTCGGGCTGAAAAACCAGCCCTGGGGAAAGGGTCGAGACTTCCGGGGGCTGTGTATGGGACAAATCAGGACATCGCATGTCTGGGGCTAAGGGGGCGGCCCTTTGGGAAGGCGGGGGGGGTTCTGAGAAGGCAGGTGAGGTACGCCAAACAATTGGTTCGTCTTCGCCGACGCTGGCGCGTAAGCTGTACGCGTAAGGTCGCGCGTACGCGCCCTCGGTTCCAACATGGCGTGCCGCGCTTGCGGCCCGCGTAAGCCGACGCGTAAGGTTGCTACGTTATCTCGCGTAAGATTCGTTTCTCTTCGTCGCTCAGGCGGCTTCCTAGAAGCCCTCCTGGCATCGAAGGAGCTCCCGAGAGGTTTCCAGGCCGTTTTGAGGAGGCCCCTGCCTTCCGGAAGCCCCCCCCCCGTGGTCTCAGAGGGCCGCCACCCCTTTGCGCCACCCCATCGTGCTCGTTGGGCCCACGAGGGCAACTCGTTCAGGATGAAACGATCTTTTTTAAGGGTCGGATCTCCTGGGGGTCCCTGCTACAGTCAAATTGCATAGCATGGATGTACCGGTGTCCTCAGGGTACCATTGCGTCCTTGCCTCTGCGGCCCGTCCTTCGCGGCTTTCACTGGCCAGGCCGCCAGGGTGTTGGCAGTCCGCCGCCCAAAAAGTGCCATTTGCGGCGTTTAAGACCCTTGCGTCATTACCGCCCGGCCTCACTATAGATTTGGATTGCATGTAAGAATCATGAGGTCCCTGCTGGGAGAGCCTGAGAGGATCAGGGGGCCTGCCGACATGCGTCCAAGCTGGATCCTGGGAGGGGTCCGAGGCGCCGGCGTGCGTCCACACGGACGCCCCTCGAAAGAGGACGTTTGGGGGCCGCCAAGGCCCCGTGTGTGGCCTGGATTTGCAGGCCCTCCCCCCCCGTCTCGCACTGCCGTGGCGGAACCTGCTCCAGCCCAGGTGTCCAGCGACGGGGCTCAGTGGCAGGCCGTGAGCGCCACGGAGCTGCCGTGGATGCCGCATGCGATGCACGCCGCCGCAGTCTTTGCGCCGTGCAGCGAAGGCAATGGTACCGAGGGCTCCTCTGAAGGCTCGGTACGATCGAAATGGATACGGGAAGAGTGGGGACAATGACTGGCAGCAGTTCCTGTCCATTTGAACAACCGATGTCCAGTGCTGAGACAAGGTCACTTGCCCAACAGCGGTCGCCGACTCTGGGCCGCATTTGCCGTGGGGCATCATCTCCATACCTGTGTCCGTACCAGCTTGAGCGGCGGGGTCGATTGCGCGGGCGCGTAAGGTTCCCGCGCAAAGCCGTGCGTAAGCGCCCTCTTCTCCACGGGATGTGTGAGGCTGGCGGCCCGCGTAAGCCGCGGCGTGAGGCTGCTACGCCATCTTGCGAAAGATTAAGGCCTCTACACAGGGAATGTTCAAATAGTTAAACAAATAGTCCGGGGACGATTTATTTAACCATGTTTGATCATCTTGGAGTATTGTTTGACTTTTTGTTTTCTTCCAAAATCCGTCCGTATGGGGGGCATGCCCGACTTAAGCGTAAGACCGTCACGACCCCCTTTCTCTTCGTCGCCCACTCCGGGCCCGCCAAGAGGCGCGTGCATCTACGTGTCCGGGGGCCTCACGTCCGAGGGGTACTACGACAACGGCGTCTACCGCCTCCCGGTCCTCGTGGGCGAAAGACATACCATCCCTATCCCTGGCCTCGCGGGACGGGAACCTGCCTGCAAGAGGGGCCCAAGATGCCCCCAAGTCGTCCCCAAGAACGCCCAAGAGCGCCCCAAGGGGGGGGACCTAGATCGGGAGCCACCCTCCTTCTGTCGATAGCCTCGAAGATGGCCCCAAGAGGCGCTCCAGGGCTCCCAAGAGAGCCCCAGGCCCCGCGGAGATGGGGCGCTTCTTCGCTGAGGCCCCGTTCGGAGCTTATCCGGGCGACCGCGTACCCGCGGCATCGCGCCCCGGAATCCAGACCGCAAGGGCGCGGATTGAGGGTCGAAGCATCCTTTCTGAGCCGATCACCTGGTGACTTGGGCCTCCGGCGGCCGCTCCGTGACGATTCGGGCAGCCCTGGAACGCCCTCGGCGAGGCGCAGCCGACGGAACGCATCCCGAGGCAGGGGGGGCCTCCAGGAACACACCAGCCGATCATCAAGGGCGCCCTCGAGGGCGCGAAGTTATTCGGGCTTCGCGGTTTGGCTCCGATTCCTCCTCCTCCTCCTCCTCCTCCTCTTCTCCCCTGGCAGGCGGCGCGAGAGCGCGAGGTCCTTCGCGCTTCGCGCTCCGCGCAGCGCGGAGCGCGCGAAGCTGGGAGCCCTCGGATCCTGGCCACCGCCCCGCGCGAGGTCCGCGCGGGCCTCGCCGCGCCGGCCTGCGAGGCCGCGGGCGCGGCGGCGTGCGCGGCCGCCGCCCCGCCCCCCGCCGACGACGGCGGCCCCGCCCCCGCGCGGCCGGCCGCCGCGCCCGCCGAGGGGCCCCGCGGGTGGCCCCTCGCGGCCGCCGCGGCGGCGCTGGCCGCGTGCCTCGCGGCCCTCTGCCGGAGGGCACGGAGCGAGCGGGCCCGGCTCGAGCAGTGGGGCCGGCGGCAGAGCTGGTTTGCCCCCCGCGATGGCTGTCTTTTCTCTCCGGGGATTTTTCGGGGGAGGGGTCGTAGGAGAGTGCTCCGTAGACGTCGTAGGATACGTCGTGGACGCCTGCGGAGCATTCGGCGCGCATGATTCGTCGATTCGTCGAACAGGAAGCCTAGGGTAAATCAGTTGTGTGGTCGATCCCCTGCTCGAGCGGTGGGACATGCTCAATCGCGCGTCGGTCCGCCGGCTCTGGCCGACCGCTCTCTGGCGCGGCACGTTATCCACATCCCGGGCCTCGGGGGGTCACGTGCCGAAGTGTCCCAGGCCTCCCGCTCGCCTAGCATAGCGTGTCGCCTGGGCCGCCACGACGACACGCTATCCAACAGGGGCCGCCACGACGACGCGTCGCCTGGGCCGCGACGACGACACGCCTGGGCCGCCACGACGACACGCCTGGCCGTACGAAGATGGACATCAGGGGTACGGACAGAACAGGCTCATCTTGAACAAGACTCCCCGTCGCTGTCGCTGCGGACGTGTTTTTTTTGTGCGAGACAGAAGGCCGCCTGCCCAACAGCGGCCGCTGCCAGTTTGGGATAAGCCTTGCAGCTGGGCATCGTGCCGATTTTTGTGTGGTCCCTTACCATGTTTGGGCGTCCAGAGATCAGAGGAGGAACATATTCAGATACCACGACCCCTGGCCAATAGCCTCACCTGCGCCTTTGTTGAGCCTCCTGTGAGGCCCTCGCCGCCACCCTGACATCCGACGCTGCGCACAGAGATCGCAACGTCTCGAAAGATCACGACCACAGCCCCCATCTTGATCCGTGAGGCCCTGGGGGGCTCGGCACGAGGCAAACAGGGCCCGTGGTGAGGACTCGCGGCGCCAGGCTCTCAGGGCATCGCTGGCTTCGCCTCCAGCTTCTGGTCCGGACGCGCCCCCGGGAGGAGGAGGAGGAGGAGGAGGAGGAGGAGGAGGAGGAAGAGGAGGACACCTGAGAGGCCTCCTGAGGGGCCTCCTGGGAGCCTCTTCAGGCGACGGCGACGAAAATCACGACGACGACGACGACGACGACGACGACGACGACGACGAGCAGCGGCAGCGGCCTCCTCTGGCTCCCCTTCCAAGGAGGGGCCGCGGCAACCACAAGGGGGCGCCCGCGGAGCCGCCCCGCCTGGACCCCGCGGTGAGCGCCGCGCTGTGCGCGATGGCCGGCGGGTGCGTGCTCGTGGCGGGCTTCGCCGCGTACGCGCTGGTCCAGGCGGGGTGCTGCTGGGGCCAAGTCGGGCGTGTCCCTCTACAGGAGGAATGTGCAAGACAAGTAAAGGAAATCGTCAGGGGGCGATGCTTCGATCCTTGTTTGGCCACTTGGGGGCATATGTTGTGACTATTTGTTTATTTTGTCCTCCAAAATCCCTCTGTAGGAGGACAGGCCCGACTGCATGCTGGGGGCCCACACTTCCTCGGGGGACAGAACACTCACACGACCGTAACTTTCTGGAGGTCCGCGCGGATTCCTTGGATCGGCGCGAGGTCTCATGCCCCTGGCGCGCTCCTCGCGCCAAAGGGTGTGGGGCTGCAGCGCCGACCCAAGATCTCAGCGCGGTGACCCCCAGAAGTGGATGTTTATGCCGCTCTTTCTCTCGTTCCCCCGCCTGTCCCAGAGATCCAACTCGTCGAACACATCACGAGGCAGAGGTCCCTCTCCGCTTTCGGCCTCCAGGGGCCCTCGCAGGGCCCCGGAAGCGTCGGGAAACGGCTCGGGATGAGCACCCGGTCCCCGTGGAGGGGGTCGAGACTTTTGGGGGGCGCCGTGTTGGAAAAGTTCAGACGCCAGATCTCCGAGTCTGGGGCCCCGATCCTCCGCACTCCCCTTCCGCCCGCCACTGCGGGCCGAGGGCGGCTTTGGTCACGGAGCCTCTTCTATTTTCGTCGGCGAGGCAGGGGGGGGAAGTGAGGATGAGAAAGCGTTCTGAGAAGGCTGCGGGGCTTCTCAATCCTCAGAGGCGCACCGGCCTTCTGAGAGGCTGTCTATGTCTGCGGGGAAGGCGCAGAAGATTTCTCATTTGGATTCGGGCTGATGGGTCCCTTGCGCTGGGGGGTATCAAACATGTACGCAGTAGTTCGTGCAGTCTCTCGTCCGGGATGCGTACGACGTACCACATTAGCACGTGGTTGCCAAGCGCCTTGCGCCACAAGATGAACCATTGCAGATTTCTGCGACCCCATTGCGAAATACTCCGTCGGCCTGGAACCAATTTATGGTGCTACTCCTGCTGCTCCTCACGTCCTTCCTTCCTGTCCTCCTCCCGCTGCCTCCTTCCTCCTCCTCGCTCTCTTCCTCCTAATCCTGCCGCTCTTCGACTTGCCCCTCCCCCATCCTCTGCCTTCACGTCCTCTTCCCTGCCCTTCTCCGTTTTCTCCTTTCCTTCCCCACCACCTCCACCTCCCCCCCTCCACCTCCCCACGGTTTGAACAGGAACTGCCATCCATCTTTGAAGCCGCTGCAAATTTCAAGGTGGACGTGCGCGGCTCTAACGCGAGAGCACATTTTGAACAAGACTTGTGTTCCATCATTGAAGATGTTGCAGCATGTGAAAGCGAATATGCGCGGCGGTAAGACGAGCGTCACATGTTGGAAATCATCTGGCCTTCATTTCTGAACCTGTTGCAAGTTTTAAGACAAACGCGTGCGGAGCTAGTTTGTGAACCACATTGAGGGCGTTGCGACATGCGGGAGCGAGCAAGCATGGTGCTCAGATGAGAGTCGCACTTCGAATACCAACTGCTTTCCATATTGGAAAACGGTGGTGCATGTTTAGATTGAATGTGCGTTCCCCTGAGGCGAGAGTTACATTTAGAGACCGAGTCCTTACATCCTTGCATCCTCGAATCTTCCGAGAACTGCATCATTCAGGATCATGACGTGCGAGGGAGTCTCAGTCCCAATGCCAAACCCTCCCTACTGACACGTTTGAGGGTTCGACGGGGAGGATCCAAATCACGTAGGGAAGGCATGGGCGAGGAGTATGATGGAGGAGAATGAAGGGTGGGAAGTCTTACTGCCGCCCCATGTCCTGATCATTCATATCCAGACGTTCCCAGACGGCGGAGAGCCCCAAACGTTTCAGTGACCACCCCGTCGGCGTGAACGCACGGTTCTGGGACTCGTGTCGCTCTTCGAGGATGTCTTGAGCGACTGGGGCTTCCTATGTCCCAGCACCGTGCGGTAGCGGAACGTGCGGCGCAGCCTTTCGGGAGTTCGAGGTCAACCCACGGGCTGTCACCGCACCATGTTTTATCCGAATGGAACTGCATAGACATAATATTTCGCAGACCCGCGCGGACCTTCCAAGCATCTCGTCATCGATTTTACCTAACAGCTTTTGCTGATAGGTTTCTAGTGGTGTCAAAAGAGAGCAGCAGATGACTCCACAGGGGGGTCGGGGCGGGACCCGGGGAGCTGTGTCCGAACTCGTGTCCGAATGCGTTTTTCGCAAACAGTCACACACTTCGTGCTCTTCGACCTCCCAGAACTCCATTCCCGGGCCACATTCTGAATGCCTGGAGCCAACTGTAGGCCACTTCGTGCTCTTCGACTTCCCAGAACTCCATTCCCGGGCCACATTTTTTGATGCCCGGAGCCAACTGTAGGCCACTTCGTGCTCTTCGAGTTCCCAGAACTCCATTCCTGGGCCACATTTTGAATGCCCGGAGCCAACTGTAGGCCACTTCGTGCTCTTCGAGTTCCCAGAACTCCATTCCCGGGCCACACTTTGAATGCCCGGAGCCAACTGTAGGCCACTTCGTGCTCTTCGAGTTCCCAGAACTCCATTCCCGGGCCACAGTTTGAATGCCCGGAGCCAACTGTAGGCCACTTCGTGCTCTTCGAGTTCCCAGAACTCCATTCCCGGGCCACTGAATGCTGCTGGGCTGAGGCTGAGGCAGGCTGAGGCTGAGGCAGGCTGAGGCTGAGGCTGCTGAGGCTGAGGCTGGCAGGCTGAGGCTGAGGCTGAGGCAGGCTGAGGCTGAGGCTGAGGCTGCTGAGGCTTGAGGCTGAGAGGCAGCTGAGGCTGAGGCTGAAGCAGGCTGAGGCTGAGGCTGAGGCAGGCTGAGGCTGAGGCTTAGGCAAGCTGATACTGAGGCAGACTGAGGCTGAGGCAGGCTGAGGCTGAGGCAGGCTGAGGCTGAGGCAGGCTGAGGCTGAGGCTGAGGCTGATGGCTGAGGCTGAGGCTGAAGCTGAGGCTGAGGCTGATGCAGGCTGAGGCTGAGGCTGATGCAGGGTGAGGCTGAGGCAGGCTGAGGCTGAGGCTGAGGCTGAAGGCTGCAGGCTGAGGCAGGCGCTGAGGCAGGCTGGCTGAGGCTGAGGCTGAGGCAGGCTGAGGCTGAGGCTGAGGCAGGCTGAGGCTGAGGCAGGCTGAGGCTGAGGCTGAGGCTGAGGCTGAGGCTGAGGCTGAGGCTGAGGAGGCTGAGGCAGGCTGAGGCTGAGGCTGAGGCAGGCTGAGGCTGAGGCTGAGGCTGGCTGTGGCTGAGGCTGAGGCTGAGGCTGAGGCAGGCTGAGGCTGAGGCTGAGGCAGGCTGTGCTGCAGGCTGAGGCTGAGGCTGAGGCTGATGCAGGCTGAGGCTGAGGCTGGCTGAGGCTGAGGCCGAGGCTGAAGGCAGACTGAGGCTGAGGTTGAAGCAGGCTGAGGCTGAGGCCGAGGCAGGCTGATGCTGAGGCTGAGGCGGGCTGATGCTGAGGCAGTCTGTGGCTGAGGCTGAGGCAGGCTGAGGCTGAGGCTGAGGCAGGCTGAAGCAGACGCTGAGGCAGGCTGATGCGGAGGCAGGCTGAGGCTGAGGCTGAGGCTGAGGCTGAGGCTGATGCAGGCTGAGGCTGAGGCAGGCTGAGGCTGAGGCCGAGGCTGAAGGCAGACTATGGCTGAGGCTGAGGCTGAAGCAGGGTGAGGCTGAGGCTGAGGCAGGCTGAGGCTGAGGCTGATGCAGGCTGATACTGAGGCAGGCTAAGGCTGAGGCTGTGACTGTGACTGCCGTTGCCTCTGCGACTGTCATCGCGAATGCGACTTTGACTGCGAGAACAGGAGAATTCTACAACTGGA